CCATGGTTAAGACGGTATCAAAATAATACTGGTCGTTCCAAAAGTAACCAAGAAGGTGATAGTCATGAGGGTTGATCGGAAACTKCTGATAAGCTTTGCGTAAGTCACGTTTAAACAGTAAACAACCATGACCGAACTCAATAATCGCGTCCACCACAATGTCCACCGTGGGATAGGTGATCTCAAGTTGCGTACCCAGATAGGAGTCTTTAGCAATACCATCGTTAATAGAGGARCCACACGGCCAACTCAGATCAACAATCACCCGCCGTTCCGAAGAATCGCGTTTTTCAACAGTATTCAAAGGAGAAGCCACGAAGCCATCAGAAAATGGAGTAGACTCGAAAGGCCCCGCGATCCGTCCTCGAGAAAGTTCGCTGAGTAAATGAGACGTGACCGCGTTAGGGAAATTGATGGCACCACGATGATTGCGTTTGTTAAAAAACAGAAGAGTGACATTTTGATAACCCACAGGCCATCCGTACTCTAAAAAGTCACAAATAATTCGGTCGTGATAATCCTGTAACAAGTCCCGCCAAACTCCAATGCACAATCCTGAAGGGACAGATAGACGAGCAACCKCAAAATTCGGTAATCCGCTAGAATATACTTGACGTGAGCGGAAACGAAAAAAGGCTGAAACGAAGCACTGTCACGGAGAGGGCRAGCAGGCGAGATGAAGTCTCGTAAAACAACTGAACGGTCCTGAGAATAAACGTCACGTAAAACATAGTCTTGACCTYTAAAAGAACAGTCGAGTAAAGCATAGTCTAGAACAAAGTCACAATCTTGAAAATTACGAACAGGAAWGGAGGAGACGCCACCRGTAAGAAAATTACCGGTGAAGGCGTCCCCGGCAGTTAGTTTTTTGGTTGTGAAAAGGACGAAGMTAACGGGCAATCCGACGAGGATTCGCGGTGCTTTTCCTGCTTTCGGCTTTTTATCCAACATTCTGCATAAACATGTCGAAACCACTTCGACTCACCGCGAATTGTGCCAAAGTAATCCCCAGGGTGAGAGCACTTGTCGTGTTGAAGATCGCGGCAAAATAACACGGTCGGTGAAGATTACGGGACTGTCGAAACGCGCAAGGGATGTCCAAACAGTGCATACCCCGCAACAAATTCTGCAAGCGAAAGATCGTCGTACTTGATGTCACGATGGGCGTGAGTTAAGGAAAAAAAACTKTGTGGCCACAACTGTGGACAAACAACTTCGCTAGTGGGTTTAGCATCTTTACSAGATTTAAACTTACTTTTTGGCACTYGGTTCGCTGTCGGAGAAGTAACCTCGGCGCCTGCMTCGTCGTCAKTATCGCTCTGGGAAGATCCTACCAGGSAGAGGTGTGCCACGCGCTTGTCCACCGCTGTAGCGAGAGACGACATCGCGCGAAGATCAGGCAAAGTGACCTGGGCAGATGCAGTTGGTTGGTTTACGACGGAGGCTGAACGTGAGTGTTGTGTAGGACGTTCCTGATGAATCATGGACCTCAACTCTGAAGTTTCCTCACGAATAGACTTAACTTCTGCCGGCAATGTCTTGACACAATCCAAAATGGTGGATAGCGACGCGGCTTCATCGACAGAAGCGGTTTCATCAACCTCATGCTCACTGTCGGTAGCGGAGTGAAGACCGTGAGGGCCCGAACACGCAGCTCCAGGTCTCCCAAARGTGTAATTAGACGTAACAATCTTACATCCAGGACATTTACTACTCAGAGGTACTACGACCCATGATAAAAATACTGGTTAACGAAAATGACCTAATACGAGTACGACAAACAACGCAACTGATATCTAGTACAGCCAACACCTAACTATGTATGGAAAACTGATGCGAACCGGAAATGGATCAGATGGCAATTAATCCCTTTGCGAGGGAGGGGGAAAATGAAGACAGAATAAGCTGTTATCATATTTGGTCGTCAGTGTGGTAAGAGTTCCTTCGTAGTTCCTTCATTATCGTATTGCAACTCAATGTCGTTTCCTAATAACCATATATGCGATAAAAAAATCTAGCCAATGATCCTCAGGGTTCTTGGCTACCCGTGATTCATAACGCTTGTAAAATTCTTCAACAATTTGGGATTTCTCCTCGTTAGACCTTGAATCTGATAATCCTGTCAGAAAACAAAATCAAAACAACAATGAAATGATATCAGTGTAAAAGTTCTAGAATCTAAAGCATTGGTGGTATGAACTCCGTTTCATGGATATCAAGGTGGAATTAGTCATGTTTATAGAGATTTTTTTTGAACTGGTGAAGATAATTTTATGCGAGCGATGCAAGAAYTGCAAWGACAACAAGCCGTACGAAAGAATTCCCAAAGCTACAAAGAGTCGCTTAAAAGTGTTTTCATGAACGCCAACTGGGAMTATGATTATTCCCTACATTGTCTACGATAAATTTAATGCCATGAAACCATTTTTAAGYGACWCCTTCAAAGTTCGTATATTTAATGAAGYCTCCCTTGACGTCACATCATTAGCATTTTCAATTTTCAAATCCTTTAACTCAGAAAATAAAATTYAAAAAAAAAWTTATTCTTCAAAACAATGATAAGCATCATATTTGCCTTTTGTTAAAATGATTTYCTAAAATGGTTCATATGAACTTTAATTTCTACCTATTTGAGCTTTATCCCATTGATATTTCAGACATTTTTTCAAAGCTTAAAAAAAACAAATTGCAAAGTTTAAAATAAAATATACGATGTATTTTATTTGACGTCATGCAGGTTTTAAAAAACTGKTGGTGAAACGGACTGGCTCCTATCATGATTTGTTGAGAATTTAGAGGAAGTTAAAGATTTAGAATTAGCCTCTGAATGTAATGTCTACAACGTGGAATCTCCCGTTACCTACCATACCTACCAGAAAACATTGTTGCGTAGCCCCAGCTTTGTATAGACATTACATAGCGTTTGGCATGTTCTTTGGGGTCTCCCTTCTCTCTCATCCACCTCTCTTTGTATGGGCATGGCATAAGATGTGTATCAACAGAAACCAATCCAAACCATTTGGTGTCACAGGAGAATCTGGGTCGTTAAAAGGTTTCTTGAATTCTTCCACCGACCGAAAGTAAAAGCAAAGGTTTGTTTTCTTGAATTCTTCCTAGATTCACAAAAGACTGTGTTAATGTAAAAGCGAATGTACTATTGGTATCGACCTTATTTGTCTAGAACATAAGATTTTCGTGCTCGATTCTGATTAGCTACCGCGCGTGCGCTTTTACATCATTGAACGTGATTGGCTTGGGAACTCATATCAACATGGCGGCTKAAAGGTGATATCGTATAGATATGTAAAGCAACCAATTCTTATTATTACAACTACGTTATCAACGCTATCGGCGGCAATATTATTTTGAGCATACTGGATCTAATAGTGAACAAAGGTGTTCACCAAACAAAGTTAGTTATCCACTTTAAGTGGAGTGTGTAGAGACTCTTTCATAATATGGATCTAAATTAAATATGTAATTAAATGAGTTTAATGCACAGGTAGATAGTGTGTAGAGAAGTTCATAACGAAAACGAAAAAAAAAACATATCAAACAATTGCTTCGGAAAAAAACTTCATTCGTTTGCCAAACTTTTGCTGACCATATATGGTAGTCTTACCTTATAAGGAAGTACGTTAGAAAGTTTTTTTCAAGTTTTTTTTTTCACCTTTTAGTGTTTTATAATGGCTAGAACKTACGGAAATTTCAGAGAAATTGCTTTTCAACACGTCGGCCATTATAATTTTGTCCTAGTACCCTCCCATCCTTGAAAATAAGGAATCCCAGCTTGTGGGGGAGGGGGGAGGGTTGGAGTCGTCAGAATCGATAGGTTTCAATGCAAGAAAAGATATTGGAAATTGAGCAAATTCAATGAAAATGATTGACAAGTAAAGATTCTTAGCGACGTCTTCGGAAACTCTTCGGTTAAACACTCGGGATATTTCGTTGTCGCTCATCGACAATAAACAGCGAAAGAGAGTTCAGCTTAATAAGGATTTGATGGTTGGATAGCTATGACTTTTCTCCTTTTGTGGTGCAAACATTAAATGATAAATGCTTATCTTCACTCACCTGACTTATCATTCCCTCTCGAACAAGTTCTTTCCATAAATCTCGCATCTCCWTTTGTACTGTTATTTCATGGCACTGAGTATTACCGCTAATTTGTTCGTCGACTGCAAGTTGCGCTAGTGTCAAAACACCCCCTAAAATAGATTTCGATTTCTTTGAGCTATCGATATCGCCATAAAACRTGATAGGCAYCTAAAAGAGCATGGTCAACCAGCCTTCAATGCGGTCGTGTTTTAGGTTTTTCATATATGGAAAGGTGGCTTCGAATATCCATTCGCAATCCGTTTCMWTCCATCGGTTTAAAGGTCGAATCTTACAGTATCTCTATTCATATAGTATGAAGATATAATAAAGAGTAAGTTTTAGCTTATATCATGATGTACTTTTTTATTTTCAAACGTGAACAAAGGCTCGAAAGGGATGCTGGTGGACCATGTTGATCCTTTTGGCACCTTAAAACAAACTCACACCTGCCATCCTCCTTCCTCTATGTCTTCACAAAATTTGGCAATACGTTTTTCTCGGTTTCATTAAAACCTAGACTAGGTGAATCAGCCAATCAGCGCAAAGATAGCAAGCTTGKCAGCATATTCCATGACGGGAAAAAATGGCAGCAAAAAGTGAATTTGTAGAGCTGCGTAAACATCGTTTTGTTCTTTAATCTAAGCTTAAGGCTACAAGAAGTTAATATACTTTTTGAATAACAATATTGTAAAGACGATAAGGCAATCATTGTTAACAGAATCAGAATAATTTAATGAAAAGTAAAGCATCAAMTTCTAAGATTTTTGAGGTCCACTCCCTCGAAACGATAATTGGGAAGTGCAGATTTTACATTGGTTCGTAAGTATGATCGATTCCACAACTTAAGAAATTCATCGARGAAACGTTAGAATATCATTACAGACSACGTTAAAGGATTGTTGATTACACATTCTGTGTCCTTGGTGCAAGTTTGAAATTGTTGGAATTACAGTGCGTGATATTTCTCAGCGACAGATGCAAGTAGGAGTTATGTTATTGACTTTAAAAAGCTTTGAAGCATCTACACCAACGTTGTCAGAAGTGCAACATAATTCCCAATATTCCAGGAGTTATATAAACCAAAAAAACCCAAAAAGTTTCACATGATCAATGGAAACTTAATCCCATGTAATCCGTTGTTTATTATCTTCGTTCAATAAAAAGCATGTGCATTTTAGTGAATGGCGAAAATAAATCCCRTCATTTTATATGCATTTTTTGAGAATGAACTGCATAAGATTACAAAAATGCACTGGCCGAAGACTAACAATTCATGCTCAGGTCTGGTAGCACGTAGACTTSACAGATATAAAACAGCTGTACTGTACATGCCCAAATGTGACCCCTTCCAGTGCWCTTATATTATACCTGGTATCAACTCTTCGGCTCTCTTTACCAAGAAAATCTCCCAGTCTTTCTCGGCTTGTTTCCTAAACTTTTCATTTTCCTCTTTGTCAGCCATCACATGAAACAATGCATCAGCAATGTCACATGGTTTCTCCCTCAGCCAATGAGCACTACAGGCTGAAAAACCCAGATGAACTGTGTTGCTTGGAACACAYTGACTGTAGAAGTTGGTACCACAAACCATTACAAAGACATTTTGAAAATCCATCAAATAAGAACGTGGGCCTGATGGGAGAAAACCTGGAAAGTCAAAATGCAAAGTGTCGCTTCTAAAGTTAATCCAACAGTAACAGACAGCTAGATCTCAATTATGATCTCAATCATTAAAATATTTAGACCACTTCACTTAGAATCGATTTTGTGTACAAGGACTATACACTGGAAAACGAGACATGATTCAAATATCAAACAGTATTTGAAATGCTTGCTAACTGAGAAGAGTTTAATGAAACTATACCTTGCAATCGCATAAACAGYGATTTAAAATCATTGACAGGCTGGTCTTCATAGATAATATTGATTGGCATTTCTTCTCCATACTTTTCTCGTATTGCCTTYACTGATTCATACATCAACGGCATTGATGTYCCTCCGTCAGCTGCACCATAATCCACTATGGTGAATACAGAGCCAGGTTTAACAAGACTGGATTTGATCGCTTCTAATACCAAAGGAACTGCCCTAGCGATTACTTYGTAATATCCAAGAGCTCCAGATGAATATGCTCCTGATCCATCTTCTGCATATGGGATGTGCATRCTGTGAGGAACCTGATGACAATAAAGAGATATTGTTGACATCCAGGCTGTCTTTTATAATGATTATATTTTGCTAGGAGCAGGGCGGAGGACCTATTCATTTTATTAAATAACATTATTCATCAAGTCTAATCGTGATATGGACTGCTCGACCMAGCTGATATATAATATTTGGTATATTTTCGCAGCCATTGGTCGACTTCGCCCGKAGGCGTGTTTTTTTGTTTTCATCAAATTAGGGTCATCTGTGTAACCATCAGAGTACAGACTTATGTAAAATGGAAGCTATTTATTAAATAACAATATCTTCACTGTGTTTTTGTGAAAGCAAGAATATAAAAAGGCATGCATATATTATTGTCATATGTGCAAATTACTAGTCGGACTAGCCGAAGGCCAGGTCGACTTGAGTTTTACCTTGCCAATCTATCTATGTATCATGTCGYGTTTGGACCACCGGAAGTTAAGAATTTAATAATTAACTATTGGGTTGGCTGTSTTATTTCATGACCGAAAGCTCAAATTTTTAGATGTACAAATATCGTTAGTAAATGTTAGATGCTAYACGAAAATTTCACGCTCTCTGATTGGCTCATAAAATAAACACACTTGCCGGCGGAAGTGAAAATATCACCTAGAAAAACATTCAAATCATTCTGTATTACCCTACTTCACCTTGAATTCTTCCTTTAAAATCATTTTTTAAGTCTATGCAGTGGACATTCATTGAGAGAAATAT